CTATCCTCCTACCCTGTTCCCTTCCTAACTCCTTCCCAAGCCGGTCTTTTTTTTTTTGAGCCGCTCTCTTTTATAATTACAATACAACTACAAACTTTTGTGACTTTCTTTTTTTTGGCCATTTAAAAAAAAAAAAAACTGCGCTATGTTGTGTTCTGCATTTCTTTCGCAGGTACAAGCAAGTTTTTCTTCCGTCACACTGTCTGCCGAATGAGATGCAGGAGAGTGGGTTTTGTGATGCAAGCGTTCGAGCAGTGACCAATGCTAGTCGAGAATTTACGGACGCTAACCTCGCCATCGCGATGGAAGACAAAGGCCTCGGCGATGATAACCAAGGAAAAACTGCGAAAGAGGAAGGCAGCAGTGACCGAGAGAACGTTGATCCTGCAAAAGAAGCATTCTTCAATGCACAGAAACAGACAAAAGCCAAGCGGCGAGCCAAGGCCCCCCACCGCGTAGGAAAACCGCACTTCCTCTGAAAGATCCGGGGCCAGGTCCCACTTGCACGAATTCAGAGATACTGACCGTCGATAGCCAAGATCAACGGTCCAAATCTCCTAGTTTGCGCAAGTGGGACCTTGCCCCCGGCCTGGAGCTGCATTGCTATTGCAACTCTCCTTCAAACTCCTAGGAGAGTACTCACACTAGCCAGGGGGGTGGTATGGGACGCACCTGGCCACATTTACGGCCAAACCTGGATGAATATGACCGCAATTACGTCCGTAAACAAGGTAAAAACGTCCTGGTGCGAGTGTGCCCTCCTCACTCATAACTAACCTGCTCTCTCTGGGGTATAGTTGCTCTCTCCTTCCCCTCTTCCTCCTCCTCCTCCTCCTCCTCCTCCTCTCTTCATGGGCCGCCTTTCGTGCATTTGAACGCCGGTCTGCATTTTCCTCTCTTCATATGCCCCCTTTCCTTTTTCTCGGTCCTCCTTTTTTTTCCCAGTTCTGTTTTCGATTCGAGTTTCAAACTCGCGTCTGCGTTTCGACAGTTCATGGGTGCACCAACTGAGCTAGGCCTGTTGGTGGATCTGCCCTCTTTTTTCCCTTTTTCTGCCAAAACTTAGGTCGTACACTCGCACTAGGACTTTCCTTGATGTATCTGACCGGAATTACAGGCCAGTGTGCTGTAATTTCGACCGATAAATAAATCTATGGCAGCAAATACTTCCCAGTGTGAGTATCCTCCCATGGTTCTTGCCCCTCACACGCGGGTTTTTCTTGTCAAAGAAGTTGCACTGAGTACTCACTTCTTTTTTCTTTGTCCCCCCCCCTTCCCCCTTGTTCATCGGTGCTCAGTTAAGGACATCTCCCACTATTTTTCACTAGGTTAGCATGAACCTAGCTCATTTCATGTCTACATTCATGGTAACCGAGGAGCGATATGGCGGTAGGGGCGCGTGGAGCTCTTGCAGGACCAGGTAGCACTGATGCCATGTTATTTCGCAGGAAACGTGTACCATGCACCAAAACAGAGCTAGGGTCACTCTCACTTGGGAGAAACAGGGTAGGTATTAGGAGGATGTACCACTGTCACCCAAATAGAACGCTCGATCATGATCTCTGTATCTAGACTGAAAGTTGAACCAAATGCACAGCTATAATGACTGGGCGTTCTTGCTGATGATGAAGACAGTAGTCAATGCTCCTTACACAGTTGATGCACAAACAACACCCACCACCTAGGGAAGCCATTAACAGCACCCTAAATTTTCTAGGGAGGCGGTTTTCTAGTGGGGTCCTTGTAAACCGCTTGTGACCACCTATGCCTAATCTGATCACACACACACACACACACACACACACACACACACACACACACACACACAGAGTGAAAGGGACCAAAAAGTCTCAGCGACGTCGGTCGCTTCAAAAGTGTTTCGTTGTTGCTTTTCCAATCGGAAAAGGCGCTGTCGCGACACAACTTTCTTCATTCCAATCGGAATACAGACATTGGAGATCAGCACGTTGAAGGTTGGTCACCAGAAAACTGGTATCTTTCGAGAGATTGAGATCGAGATCGAGATCGGGATCAAGATCGAGAGAGAGAGAGAGAGAGAGAGAGAGAGAGAGAGAGAGAGAGAGAGAGAGAGAGAGAGAGATCTGCAAACAGTGCCTACCGGCTGATGCGCAAAAAAAACAGTTGTCAGAAAATCCGATAGCGGTCATTTTTCTCACAGCCCTGCAGTTGGATGGTGGAGAGGTGTTTGGGTGTTGATATTTTTTGGATGGTGGAGATGGTTCTGAAGCCCTGCAGTTGATGATGGAGAGGTGTTTGGGTGTTGATGTGTTTAGGATGTGAGAGGGCTTGTACTCACAGGACTTTGTCTACTAAGCTCTGGATGTGATTGCAGTCAGATTCATCCAGCTCACAGGACTTTTTCTACTAAGCTCTGGATGTGATTGGAGCCAGATCCATCATGTTTTGGCTGTAATTCCAGTCAGGTACATTTAGGAGATTGCTACTGTTGCGAGTATGCCCAGAGCGCATTTTTTTCGCTGTAATTTTCCCTACCTTTATTTCCGAGGCTTGGACATTCTCATGGATTTGCGTCTCTCTCTGCGATTGGGCCTTGATCCACTACTTACCTACTTTGCAAAATGAGAATGAATCTTCTGCTAGAACATGGGAAGATACATGGCCATATCTTTTTGTCTTTTCTGCATGTAGTGAGGGCCTGTAAGAGGTCGCGGGCTGCTTCACAAGTATGGAGCGAGGACCATTGTTTTGTGTCCGTCCAGGTTCAGTGGTTCTGATTTTGCTCCTCTGACGTGCACAGTGGAAGGTTCATCTGGGGGGCAACTCTCATATCTACACTATGTCCCTGGGTGAGGTCCCACCAGCAAGGAGGATAGGATCAAGCGCCTGTGAACCTGGACGTGGGTTCTGCATAGATGCAGAAAGTCACATCAACCACAATTTTATGCACCCCTCCACAAACATGTCCACATTCAGGCATTAACTCCAATCCTCTCTGCTAGTGGGACCTACTCATTTGCCCCTCAAAGGGTTTATTAAACTTTGGGCCAAACTCCAGCTCACCTCATTCTACTTGCATTTGGAGAATTTTGGACGTTTTCTGGATACTTGCATTTGAAGAATTTTTGAGGCTTTCTGGACACTTGCATTTGGAGAATTTTGGATGCTTTCTGGACCAGGTGCATTCGGTCGAGTGCAACATTTTGTATGTATCCGGTCAGAAAGTGTTCCAAGTGCATGTAGAGTGTGGTGTAGTGGAGTGAGGCCCTTTATTTCATTCATTCAAAAGCTTACAGCTCTTGAGTTTAAACACTCAGACTTCACAGGCCAGAAAGCATCCAAATGCATGTATCTTAAAATGTGCTGTTTATTTTGCTGTGAATGTATTTGGCTTTACTTCCCAGGCCCCAGAGTCAAATTAATGGGGCCGCAACGACTCTGCATGATCCAAGAGGCCTCGGCCACATCTCTCTCTCTCTCTCTCTCTCTCTCTCTCTCTCTCTCTCTCTCTCTCTCTCTCTCTCTCTCTCTCTCTCTCTCTCTCTCTCTCTCTCNCTCTCTCTCTCTCTCTCTCTCTCTCTCTCTCTCTCTCTCTCTCTCTCTCTCTCTCTCTCTCTCTCTGTGTGTGTGTGTGTGTGTGTGTGTGCGTCTTCCTATCGTCGCGCTTTGCTTGTGTCGTATGGAAAGTTTCTTTTCAGAAATACCTGTTCTTGCATCGCAAATTTTTCTTTCTTTCTTTCTTTCTTGGAAAGAGTGAGTATTCTGTATTCCATTATCGTAAAAAAATTGACCCCGGGAAACTCCCGCAGCGCACTTTCTTCAACAGGCTCTGCTTATTTGGGAAGGCATTGATGATGCTACTGGTCATTGTCTTCATCCACCTCCTTGTCGTCATCGGCATTGCTGGTGCACCAGTCGTCGTCGTCGTCGTAGTAATAGTAGTAGTATGAATGTGACTGTTTAAAAAAAAAAAAAAATGCTGAACGTCAGTCACCGCAGAAGCTGAATGCGAGCGCAGTCTCCTTTGCAGTGGCTGCATTCTGTCTGTGGCAGTTCTCTGTTACACATCATAATGAAATGCCGCCCCCCCCCTCCCCCCCAACCCTCCCTGCAATCAAACATAATAATAATATTTATGAAAGATGTAATGGCGCTCCTAGTAGCTGATCTTTCTGAATCTCCAATCCTGTTCCTAAACAATGCTGACACTAAACTCCCCTCTCATGCAAGGGGCAGACAATCAATGGCATGCTGATGCAAGGGAATAACCCCTAGTAGTTAGACAGGGGGGTAAACAACCCCAGTGTCTAAGTCAGGCCAAAATGACAATCCGTGCACGGTTAGGGTGCAAAGCGGTTGAAACCCCCTCGTGCTCCAATGCGCAAGCAATGCTATTTTTCTTCCCCCTCTTTGAAACCTTTTGAGCAAGGGCCGACAATCAATGGCATGCTTATGCCGCTTGGTCGGATTCCCCACCGGACTTTTTTCCAAATTTGGACCCCTGGGGCAGGTCGCCATTTTGAAGCGTACTGCATTTTAAGTGCATCACCATCTCAGTGTGTTCACTGTTGGGTCGGTTCTGAGGGTCCCAAGTCAAGGGTCGGTTCTGAGGTTCCCAAGTCAAGCGGGAGGAGGGAATCCACAGGTTAACCCTTTTTCTGTCTGGATTCACTATATGGGAGAGAGAGAGAGAGAGAGAGAGAGAGAGAGAGAGAGAGAGAGTCAAGTGTTTTGCATGAATGAGTGCACACGAGAGAGAGATGATGCTCTTAGTGTTCACATGTGTGTGCACCTGCGTGCAAGCGAGAGCTACTCAGACTCTCACACAGAGAGAGAGAGAGAGAGAGAGAGAGAGAGAGAGAGAGAGAGAGAGAGAGAGAGAGAGAGAGAGAGA